TGAGTGTGTGTGTGTGTGTGTGTGTGTGTGTTATTATGTTGTGTGTGTAATCAATATTCTTTCTTTGTAGAAACTCTACAAAGAGAAGTTTAACTCAGAGAAAGGCAAATCAAACTACTCACAGATGAAGGATCTGCCCGACGTCACACACGCCATTCAGGTCAACAAACACCAGAGCAATGTAAGAGCACACACACACACACACACTCACATTTTTACAATAGAAAAAAAATGTCCCCAAAAGGAGTTTTTATGAGGTTTTGTCAAATTAGTCCTCTGAATGATGCTCAGTGAGGTCTCATCTGTCTTTTATTAGCATCACACACTGTCATGAGCGTTTTGCGTTCAGCTAAACACATTTGTTTTGAGCTGCTCTGACTCTCAGCAATGTGTTGCTGAAGGTGGCGTATCGCCGAGGGAAGGAGGAGCTTCATAAATTCAGCGAGGTGATGGACAGACCTGACATCCGGAACGCCACACACGCCAGTAAACTCGCCAGTGACGTGAGTGCTGCTCCTCATACAGGTGTTTGTGTGACACACGTGTGCTCAGGAATAATGCGTGGCGTCCTCACAGGTGGCCTACAGGAGTAAAGCGGACACGTTTGACCAGCGAGCGCTGCTGGAGCGACCCGACATACAACACGCCAAAGAGGCCACGCGACTGGCCAGTCAGGTACGAGACGCGTCACGTGATCTGTCTTCAGTTTGTTCACTGATGCTCGTGTTAAAGCCATTCTGTCCTCACTGGTCTCAGATTGTCTCTGTTTCTGCAGGTCAACTACAAGCAAAAGTTTGAGAAGAATCTGAGAGAACAGAAGCCGCAGTACAACCCCAGCGAGTGTGTGAGCTTCAGACAAACGCAGGCCGCGTCAGCTCTGGCCAGTCATTACAAAAGATAGAACTGAAAAATTACACACTTTGTAGTCTATTTCATGCTACATTGAAAATATGCATAGACTGGCTTCCAATTAAAAGAGGTAGTTGAGGGAGGCTGGGACCATTTGAACGAACTAAAGAACAAAATTTCCATACCAAAAAAGGAGGGAATCGACTATGAAGACACAAGGTACGCTCCCTCAAGCCTCATGTGGATTGTGATGCCTTCTCACACACTCACTCACACACACACACACACACACACACACACACACACTCACACACACACACACACTCACTCACACACTCACACACACACACACACACTCACACACACACACACACACACACTCACACACACACACACACTCACGCTGAATGGCTGTCCAGGATGATCTGTTCTCTTCATTCAGCTCATGTTGTTTTGCTCCTCTAAAGATGCGTCTGATTCCTGCCAGACTGCACTGGTGTCCATGGAAACACTTTCACAGCCCTTTGAGGAGATTTTCCCTTGTTGAGTCATTATGGTGTATGAGGAGTGTGTGCATGTGTTCATCACACGTGTTTGTGTGTGTGTGTGTGTGTGTGTGTGTGTCACAGGTGAAGTACAGTCAGAAGAAGCTGCAGGCCGTCACTGATTTACCCAACCTGCTTCATCTGGGTCACGCGCTCCACGCCAGCAAACTACAGAGCAACGTACAGACTCTGATTCACTCGTCTGATGATTCTGTTACATTCTGCATCAGCTGTGATGATTCGTTTGTGTTGAGATTCATTTTGAAGCATCATTCGTTCACAGTATTATGTATATGTCCGTCAGGTGGAGTACAGGAAGAAGTATGAGGAGTCTAAGGGCCAGTACCTCCTCGCTCTGGACACGGCTGAACAGCGCCACCATAAGGAGAACGCCGTGCTGCACAGTCAGGTCAGTCTTCATTTAGTGTCACTGAGCTTCTTGTATAGTCAAGTCAAGTCACCTTTATTTATATAGCGCTTTTAACTATACAGATTGTGTCAAAGCAACTTTACAGTACTAAATAGGAAAATAGTGTATCAATAATGCAAAAAAGCATAGACCAATGTAAAATGTTTCAGTATATTTTAGTTTAAGTTGAAATAGAATAAACTTTAACTAAAATTAAAAAATGAAAATTTTTTGTTAGTCAAAGTTTATTTCACATGACATGTTTTTTATGGTTCTAGTTTTAGTGAACTATAATAACCCTGGAGTGAATGTGAAATATGAAGCATGATGGTATTAATGAGGAGTGTTTATGAACATCTGTGATCAGTGGCGTTAGAAGTGGGGACTAGATCAGACCGAAAGGGCAATTTAGCACACCCCCCCCAGCCCCCGTGCACGCCACTGTCTGTGATGATCATCAGGACGATCTGTGTTTGCAGTGGAAATATAAAGAGGAATACGAGAAGAACCGGGGGAAGTCGCAGATGGAGTTTGTGGACACACAGACATATAAAGTGTCAAAGGAAGCGCAGAAGATGCAGAGCGAGGTGATATGTGTGTGTGTGTGTGTGTGTGTGTGAGTGTGAGTGTGAGTGTGTGTGTGTGTG